CACTAATAGCAAGGACAGCATCAATAGGGGGATGGGGGACCACATGGATAATAATCAATTCGATGATACTGAGCGTTTTAGCCACAACAGTTAAAAGTTCGTAAAGTGCAGAATCTTAAAGTGCAATACAGTCAACAATACAACTGCATGCCGTTGGGGAAATTCCTAAAGTGCAAAGATCTTAAAGTGCGACAAATACCCAATCTGGCTCTCAATACTAACTAAAGTGCGGCATGGAGGGTAGGAAAGGGGCGTAAGTGCAAGTATAGTTTAGCAGCAATAGGCAGCTAACCATAATTACAAACCATAATTCACGAAACTGGCTTGTTTCATTATCCACAGTTAATATTAACCAAATTCATTAAGCAAAAGTAATATCTTCTGATCTTGGGGTGGGATACAGTGAGAGCACATCAATCTAAGGCCCATGGTGGCTCATTCACATAATAAACCATGGTTTATTGTGCCAACTAAAAGCAGTTTGACATCTCAACTATATCAATCATAGTTAAATTGTTGAATTTACTCATTATACATGAAGAACAAGAAGATTGAAAATGTTCTTCATGTTTTTTTTATCTTCATTTACCATGCCCACATTTTGGAGAAAGCTATACAGTATTCCCTTACTTATTGTGGGTGATCCGTTCCAGGACAACCTACAATAAGTGAAAATCCACAAAGTAAGGACGCTCGGCAGCAGCCTCATCCTCTGCTGAGTCTGCTGCTCGCTGCCTTGGAGGCCCCTTGGGTGCCATTGATGGCACTGCCAGGCCAGGCTGAAGCCTGGTCTGAGGCAGCGAGCACCAGACTCAGCAAAGAGGACAAGGCTGCTGCCGAGTGGGCGGCGCGTCCCCACTCAACAGTGGTCTCGTCCTCTTTGCCGAGTCTGCTGTTTGCCGCCACAGAGGCTCCTTGGGCAAGTTGATGGCACTGCCAGGCTGGTCTGAGGCCTCAGCCCAGCCTAGCAGTGCCGTCAACAGAGCCCAAGGGGCCTCCGAGGCGGCAAGCTGCAGATTCGGCAGAGAGGACGAGGCCACTGCTGAGTGGGCAGAGATGAGCCCCAGGGTAGGCCTAGTGCCTTGCTCCCCCTCCCCTACTCCTTTTCTTCCTCCCCCCCCCCACGGCTCCCCTCCCGGTTTATTATGGACCCATGAAACACCAAGTCTCTAATAAGCGAACCGTGATATAGCAAGGGAACACTGTAATAGTATTTATTTTCTCTTGAAAATAAAAAAATATGGATCATAGAGACCTGTTGAGTTTGCTATTTCCGTCTTGAAAAAATATGTAATTTTGCTGTTTCAGGTCTTCAAGAGTTCTACCATAATTTCAATAAATTTCTGTAACCATAACCACATGTTTACAAGATATGAAATGAGAAAAAGACTTACTGGCCTTTATCATTCAACATTTTGGTAGAGTACAGGATTTCCTGTACCTGATGACTTTGTTAGATTGAAACAAATATAGAACAGTTCAGAAGTTATAAAATTGCTGTGTAGTGGAAGTTGTCACTCAGGTTTTGACCAAAAAAAACTGATCACCTACATAATTAGCATGAAATAATGAGCAATCAGTAACACAATACTCATGTCAAATTTGTGTGGTTTTGGCAGAGATAATATTAGAAATATTGGTTTAGAGGGAGGGACACAGATTACAAACTGATGGTGAGTATAGCTTATCTCTGAGGGGCTTAGGCAAAAGTTATCTGGCAGCCTGGTCAACATTACAGAACTAGAAGTTCAGGAGTTTATTCACTTGCGATCTCCGATAAAGCTGAACTTAAATGACTGGAGGGCATCTTCAAAAAAGTGGCTGCCATCTGACAATCCGTTAGATAAAGAAATGCCTTTCACTGGAGTAGGGAATGGACAAGACCCAAAAAGCAGTTTTCTACCTTAGGGACGCTCTGAAGAACATAGAATTTCCTCTCCAAATTTTTTTCTTCCCAGAAGATGGGAGGTTAGAAATACCAAAAATAGTTTTGGGAGCCTGCACATCATCCACCATTGAATTAAAGTTTGACCTCTGGAAACAAAGATGCAAGGCCACCTTAATCATGGTCATCTCCAGGTGCATTTGAGAACTTACTATGGAAAACACATTAGTCCTGTCTACATGACCCTGTCTACAAGGACTTGTTCCAAATGGATGACTGGCTGATCCCCATGATACACTGAGGCTTCTGGTGACTATTGTGCAGTTTTTTTTTGGGTTAGGCTCCAAAAAAACTGCACAAGGCCCACAAAAACTGCACTGGAAAAGTTGGAGGTATTCCAGAGTTTGCTGGAAACTTCAGAGCATCCTGAGGCTTTGGAGAAACCTGGACACTGGGATCAGGTCCAGTTCAGCCAGACTATGAACCAGTGCCCTGTGCTCACCAGTGGAGTGAAATGGGCCAGATCATGCCCATGTCACCACTGTCACTTCTAGTTGTGAATGGAGCTTTATCTGAACTCCCTCCTCCATGCTGGTCATGTGGGTTCCCATTCTAGCATCAGAAAAGATCCCTACAACAGCTACAAATTTGGATAGAGGTGGCAAGGAGGGGATTGTAGCACATCAAGTGGATGTACTCCCAGGCTAATTTGGTAGCAGTCCTATGTTTAACATGCTAAATCAAGGGCTGCACTGTGCTAAATTGGTGTAGCCATACCACTTGTAAAAAGATCACTTTCTCTTTATGCTTGTTTTGTGTGCTTTGTTTTGACAGAGTGATGCAATAATGAAGCAAAGCAAATCCTGAGTAGCTAGCTATACATTCAACCCTCATGTACTCTTTCAGTTTGGATTTAGGTCTTGGTGCATGTAAATATCACAAGCTGAAATAAGGTTCATCTTTGTTTGTCTCAAGATGCATCTTCAGATCAGTGAAGAAAGCAGACAGACTTTGGTTAATAAAATAAGGTGATTTATACAATTTCCTCTCTGTTTCTTTGAATTTGTATTTATTATTTGCTGTAAAAATACCTTTCTGAGTATAGCTAAATTTAAACACACCAGGCTAGATTTACGCACCCACTATTTTGCAACTAGAAATTAGAAAATGGGAAACCTAAGTGCAGTCGTTTTACAAAATGTTGACAAAAAGATTTTTGTTTTTCATACATGTTCTTTCATTCTTAAAGAAGAAAGTGGAATTTCCTCCTCCCACTTTCTGTTTTTCTCGTTTGCTACTGCTGAGTCTCTAGTGAGCAATTCAGGTTTCTGTGATACTGCTTTGTGGTTTAGACAAATCAATGAAATAGCAGACGTTAAATCTGTTTAATAATAAATACATCACATGATGGTGTTTTCAAACCACAACTTGTTTAGATCACAGATGTACCACGTCCCTCCACCTTCTCTCCTGAGATGAAAAATGCAAGGCAGGTGCTGTGTAATTTACAGGGATCACATTTGTAAGTGGACGAGAAAGAAACCAGGTGCGGTAGGCTATATTTCTGAGGGAGAAAATGGCAAAACCACCTCAGAGTATTCCTGTACTAAGAAAGACCTATGAAATTGATGAGGTCCCCATAAGTCAAAGGTGCCCTGGAGGCACATAATACAGGAACCAAATATACAGCATGTTCCTTCAAAAATGTATAACAGCTAATAATAGCTCCCAGAGTTGGGGTTTCTGGGAGTTGCACCAGGAAGACCAAAGTTTGGGAAACACAGCTGCAGATCCTACCCCATTGGAAGTAGATCCTCAAGTCATGCTGGAGAACTGATAGGTGTCTCGAGAGATGTCACCTTTGGTAAAAAAATAAGTATAGTGTTTTTTAACTCATTTTTTCTCCATTTTTGCAGGGGCCCAGTTCTCAACTAACCTTGTGAAAGTGGAAAGAATATTGTATTAGTGTTAGTAGCTACAGTACTACTAGTAGCAATAGCTGTAGTATTATGGAGTCACCCAGTCCAAGCCATTAGTAGTAGAAAACACAATAGCAAAAATAGTGATAATGCTGGATTACAAGCTTTAAACATTATGACAAGACCCATTCATTTATTAACCTATTGAGAATTACCATATTTTGATTCATTTATCATATCTGTACAAAAATCTCGAAAACTTCATCTGACAAAGCTACTTTCTTGGTTGCAGACAGAAGCAAATGATTTCCCAGAAATAACTTGGGAATGAACCCCATGGATATCAATGTAATTTGCCTCAAAGTACATCATTTAAGATGGTTTGGTTTGGATGAATTAAACCCAAACAGCCACCGGTATTTTAAATACAGGAAAACCATAACCCAAAAATCATCCAAATTCTTCTATGATGTAGCTTAAGAAAACATGATATAATCCTAAAAATAATCTTAAACGTCAACATCCTATGACAGCACCATCCCAGAAGACCCGCCAGAACTGAGGCTACGTTGTGTTATGGGCGACGTGGTGCTCTGTCGGTCAACTGAGGCAGAAGTGTCGAAGGACACAGAATTTCCATCATTTGATGAAGTCCCTAGTAGTATATGCAGATTTCCACTGGTATGTAAAAAGATTTACTAAGTGGGGACAACCCATGAATTTATTTAAAATGTATAAACTTATTTCCCAATAAATAGCACCCTTATTTTACACACACAAAAACCTCTACTGAATATTTGTAATGGCACTTTTAACACTGTGTAGTGGTTACTGTGAAGCAGCAAAGTATGGTGGTTTGAACATTGTATTATGACCAGGGTTCGATTCCAAGTTTGGCAATGGAAAACCAATGGTGACCTTGGCTGAGTCACACATTCTCAGTCCCAGTAAACCCTATGATAGATTCACTTTAGGGTTTCCATAAGTCAGAAATGACTTAAAAGCATACAACAACAACAACAACAACAACAACAACAACAACGACAACAACATGGTTAGTACCATTCTCAAAATCTGACATGAATGACCATGTGGGCTGGAGAGATTTAAAGAAACAAACAAAATGCCCCAAACTGCTGAATAACCAAGTATCAAGCCCCAGTTCTCTTTTAATATCATTTTTAAGTACAGCATACCTGCAAAAGCCGTGGAAGGATATGGTCTTCCTCAAGGTTAAGACCAATATGTAAGAGCTCCAGTATAGATACTAACTGACAAATACGCATGACAAGTCCCATAGAGTAGAAAGTATCCGCCATGGAATCTTCAGCCAAAAAGAAAGAAGGGAAATTGTTTTAGAATTAGAATTATATGGCTACTGAGCACAATTCTAAGTGCTGACTTTAGCCCTAAACGGTTCTGGCCCAGCTTATCTGTCCAAAAGTATCTTTTCCTATGAACTATATCGGAGATTAAGATCATCCAGGGAGGCCTTGTTCTCATTCCCACCTCCTTTGCAGGCTGGACTAGTGGGAACAAGAGATAGAGCCTTCTCAGTGGTGGCCCCTCAGCTGTGGAATTCCCTCCCCAGTGATGTTAGATTAGCACCTTCCCTCCTGACTTTCAGAAAGAGAGTGAAATGTGGCTCTTGGATCAAGCCTTCAGAGAAAACCTAAAGTGCAATAGACAGATTGGAATAATGTGAAATTGTATTATTTTAATTGTATGTTGTTGTTAAGGCACTGAATTGTTGCCTATCTGTAAGCCGCTTTGAGTGCCCCTTGGGGTGGAGAACAGCGGGATGTAAATATAGTAAATAAATAAATAAATAAAATTACAGATTTCTCACTTTTCACAGGCCATTAAGAGAACAGGATTTTGACACTCCTGCATTGCTGTACATTTGGCCAGAAGATAAAATGATAAACATGGTCAGAAGATGGCAAAATTTTAAATAGAGCCCAGTACTGCAACATCTTTCTGCAGGTAGCATTTGTGGATATTACACAAGATCACAAGCTTGGTTGGTGGGGATGAGGGAAAGGGCCTTCTCTGAGGTGGCCCCTCGGCTCTGGAACTCCATCCCCAAGGAGATCAGACAGGTTCTCGCTCTCTCCATTTTCTGCAGGGAATTAAAAACTTGGCTGTTCCGTTGTGCCTTTGATTAGGCAGTTCACCACAGACTTTCCCGACCTATCCATCTCCTGCACTTTAACATGGTCCCTTTCTGGGACTTCTAACACTTTAATAGCCTAAGGGCATTTGCCTCCTAGCCCAGCCCTCTGATTGTCGCACTTTCCCTGGCTCTACTTAGGATTCATTGCACTTAATAATTATGAACCAAACCCAGCACTTTATTTGCTCAGAAATGATATTGCTTTTGTTTTTATAAAGCTGTCTGATTTTATGTTTATTGATGTTTGATATTGCTGTTTTTCGATGCTTATTTCGATACAGTTTTGTTGGGCATGTCCCATTGTAAGCTGCCCCAAGTCCCTTCGGGGAGATGGAGGTGGGGTATAAAAATAAAGCTATAATAATAATAATTACATTATTATTACATTGTAACACAAAAATTGAGTAATTTTGGTATTGTAGTCACATGGTTTTACTCTAGAATTTGTCATTGATAGCTGTTGGAGACTAAAGATATCCTTACACTGTAGAATTAATGCAGTATTCTATTAATGAACATTTCACAAAAACAGAATGCACCTTTTCCTGATAGTTGTGACAGTTTGGCAAGCAGATTTTATTTTTAAAAGTAGCATGTATTTGTTTTTTTATTTGAGATCTGAATTGCTCTGCATCTTTTTTTATAACATCAACTTAAACTATATACTCAAAATACATGGCTCAATCTAAGCACCATTTTAAGGAAAATTACACAGTAAACATAACACTGGAATTCCTATGACTCAGGAAAAGTGTTTCTGTGTGATAAGCATGTTTTTAGCCTACCCAGACCATCGCCATGGAAATGTCACTGTTCTATCTACCAAATTTACAGCATTACAAACTGGCCAGTAGAGTATTCCTGAAGTTTAAAGTGTGGATTGTTTGCAGAGCTGTATAAAAACAGGACATGACATAGGCCTACCTTCCCCAAAAGACAGAAACCTGATGATCATATTGGTAAATATCCAAGAATGGCCACAGAACTGGATTAAATAATAGCTGAAGATATAGGTGTTCATTTTGCAGCTGAAAAGACAAGAATGACAAAAGCTATAGTTAGAAGAACTATTTGACACTGATCCATATGTAGAGAATTAATAGACAAGACAAGGGGCCAAATATGACTGCATTTGCAAAGCCACAACTGCCTATGGGCCTTTCCCGACAGGCCCAGGAGCATCTGCGTTTAAAAAACACAGATGTTCCTGGGGGCCTATCCACACCCACCTCAGAAAGCGCACACTTTCTGGGGTAGGTGTCCAGATGTCCTTCCAGGATTAGCCTGTGAGAACATCTGGAGACTCTACTCCATTTTTAAGCCAACCCAAGTCCCTATGGGAAATGGTGGCAGGGTATAAATAAAGTTTTTTTATTATTTATTATTATTATTAAAAGTTGAGGGCAGGTTTGGGAGTAAAAATTATGGATTTTGATATGACCCATGAAAACAGAAAAGGGAAAGTTCCAGAGCTGCTTCAGGAAGTCAACTACTCCTGATGACTACCACCTCCATTTTCCCACCCAGGCATTCAAAGAAGAAATAGTTAAGGCACAGTATTAACTTTTATTTTAAAATGAACTATCCGTTTCTTTGTAGAGTGGTTTAAACCATGAGCTTAGTCTATACCTAAAACAAGCATTGGCTTTCCTTAAGGTGAGGTAAAGGTGAAGGTTTCCCCTTGACATTAAGTCTGACTCTGGAGTGTAGTGCTCATCTCCATTTCTAAGCCAAAGAGCCAGCGTTGTCCATAGACACTTCCAAGGTCAGGTGGCTGGCATGACTGCATGGTGGAATGGTACCTATTGATCTACTCACATTTGCATGTTTTCGAACTGCTAGGTTGGCAGAAGCTGGGGCTAACAGCAGAAGCTGAACCCACTCCCCAGATTCGAACCACCAACCTTTCGGTCAGCAAGTTCAGCAGCTCAGCAGTTTAACAGCTGCGCCACCAGTGGCTCCTTCACTTTAAGGTATAGTGTATTAATTTGTATGATTTTTCATGTTTCATGTTTATTGAGTCAATCCTTGTTTGATGGTTTTAAGTTATATTGAATTCATTTTATACTTTGCTTTGATTGTCTATTTAATTTTGGCATTGAATGTTTGCCATTTTGTTATTCCTATAAACCACCCTGAGTCCCTCTGGGGAGAGAGGGCAGGTTATAAATAAAGATTATTATTATTATTATTATTATTATTATTATTATTATTATTATTGCCATTATTATTATTACTTTCTTGGTGGTCCTTTGAAGGGAAGTGCGAAAAAGTTGCCACTGCCATTTCCTTATCTAGGCATTCGGAAAGGCCAGAAGTGGTGTGGCAGTGGAGAGAATAGATGGGCTGGTGCTTCTTTTAGGTTGTCCCAAAATAGACTAAGCATTTGCCTTTTTGCCTCTCTACTCATAGAAGAGGATGGTTCCTTTTCTGAAAAGATGGTAGAGTACTTTGATTGATCCATGGATAAGATGACCCAGGTTTTTGGGGTCACGTTTTGACTAAAATTTCTTTATACGTAATCATATAGAATGTACACAACTCTTTTTTTCTGGAAAATATTTTAAATTGATATGCTTTTTTGGAAGCTTCACAACATATTGCCTCATTAAAATGTATGAATTAGATGGGTTTTTTTGTCATTACCTATGATTTTTTATAGAAGCATGTTGCAATGCCCAAACTTTTCTCCTACTTGCATGAAGATGTTCCTACAGAATGAGACAGATGTTCCAGCCTCATTCTTACACAAAGAGATTTTCTTGACATGACACAGTTTCTGCAGAGAGCTATCCATAGTCCTGTGTACTGATTTTAGTTGTGATGTTTAAAATGCCTTCATTTGCTTCTGAGGCAGGCAAGCCTTTGTATATATACAGCCAAAGAGTTTACAAAACTTTTGGCATATTACAACTTCAGCAGAGATAATGGGCTCACAAGTTCTCTGTAAATCGTTATAGCCACAGCAAAGCATCATGTGTCCAAATGATCGGGTGCTGAGAACGTAGAAATACAGTACTAATTTGTTGACTAAAATTCTTATATTCCTTGTCATTATTACTACTGTCTATGTTAGTTAAAGGGTTTTGAGATTTCATTATAAAAAGGAACATTTCCAAACTTTAGGTCTGTCTTTCTCTCAAGGTTAAATCAAGAGGCTATCACACATTGAGATCTTATGGAGCATGCTTCTTGTTCAAGACTTTTTGCTACCTAAAGGGACATCTCCCCTTGCCAGTTAGGGTCAACACATAAAAACAACAACCTTGCTGCATCATTTGGACACTAATTCTTGTTTCTTTGTGTTTACACATGCATTCACATAAACACAATATGTTTCCACTCAGCATGGCAGATCTATTTTTGGGACAATTTGGTTACGCATGACTCCCTTTCAGTTTAACCCTTCATCCAAGCAGATAGGACCGAAAAGGAAGATCCCAGCAGCCCCAAAAGGGTGATCACGGTGCCACCAGATAGTCTGGAATTCACCATGTCAGTGAATGTTTTTCTTAGCTCAGGTCAAAAGTACTGATTAAGCAATTGTTCATCGAAACCAGAAAAGAGGATGTTTCCATTCTGCAATGAGATGGGTTTGTTAAAATGAAAGCCTCCATCTGCTACATTGGTCAGTTTGCACCTTCCCCGCTTCCAAAGATTTGTAAAATGTGGAGATTCCTGCCAATTTGCTCTTGACATTTCAGTGACTCCACTTGACTGCCCTTACCTTGGCTCAGGCGTTTCTGCTCTAACTGCTGAAGGGAGCACAGCTCTTTGCAGGCGTTTCTCTTCCTCACAGCAGCAACAGTTGGGCTGAATGCTGAGAAAGTTCCCCTCCTCCTTCCCTTCCCTTCCTTTCCTCTCTCCCACGTCAGGCCAGCATTGCAAAAACTATGCTCAGCTTTCTTCACTCACAGAGAACTGAGCCCCAGCTTCTTATCTCCATCTGAGTGCAGGCAGTGGCCACAACATAATTCATGTTGTGTTTGTGCATGCTTTATAACATTCATATAAAATGAGGTAATTCAAGACTAGTTTTTGAACACCAACCGTGGGTGTAATATCATTTTATTACAGAATATACAAGATGCTATTTCTACTGTGCCATTTCTTCTGTCCTGTGTGTGTGTGTGTGTACAACTGTTGCTTTTAAAAAAAGAGAAAGAAAAATGAAATAACATTACAGTCAGCCTTCTCCATTTGCTAGAGTAAGGATGCAGGGTCCCCATGAAAGTAGAAAACTGTGAATAATCAAACCAGAGTTTTAAAACCTGAGATATTACTCCTGAATCTCTGAGGCCCCTTCCACACAGCTGAATAAAATCCTACATTTTCTGCTTCCAACTGGAATATAGTATATGGCTGTGTGGACTCAGATAACCAAGTTCAAAGCAGATATTGTGGGATTTTCTACCCTGATATTCTGAGTTATATGGCTGTGTGGAAGGGCCCTGGATCATGCACTGTGACTATAATCAACTTCTGGAGAAAGTTTGTCCATCAAATCACACTGGAGGACCTAGATATTCCATATTTTGGTCAAATCTGCAAATAAGGAAATCCTCAAAAGTCAAACTTGCAAACATGGAGGGCTGACTGTAATGGGGGGGGGGGGTATTGGTTGGTTTGGTTCTGTTAGCACCTTACGGCATTGAGTGTTTGCAGTTGCTTGCTGTAAACTGCCCTGAGTCTCCACAGGGAGAAACGGGAGGAATATTTCCTATACAGAAGGCATTCTGGAACGCATCTTTCTGGCTGCTGGTTTGCTACCAAGCACAATTCGAAATGCTGGCTTTAGCCTATGAAGCCTTAAAGTTCCAGCCCAGCTTACCTGTCCAAACATATCTCTCTCTATGAACCATCAAAGAGGTTAAGATCTTCTGGGGAGGCCCTGCTCTCGGTCCCACTGCTTCGCAAGTGCGGTTGGCAAGGACGAGCAACAGGGCCTTCTCAGTGGTGGTTCCTCAACTCTGGAACTTTTTCCTCAGTAAGATCAATTCAGCACCCTCCCCCTGGCCTTTAGAAAAAGAACAAAGACATGGTTATGCAATCAAGATTTTGACTAAAGTAACACAGTACAAGAAGCAAACACGGAATATGTGTAACCGGTCTATGTGCTTGAATCATGTGATTTTAATGTTTTTCTTAGGTGTTTTAATTCTTATATTCCATGTTTTAAATGTCTTTTTTATTTATTTATTTATTTATTTATTTACTCCATTTGTATACCGCATTTATCAGCCTGAGACGGCGACTCAATGCGGTTTACAATAAAAAATGGCAACACTGAACAATATATAAGACGCACATACACAAACAACACACATAGTCATCGACGCCTCAATTAGAATCAGATCCCGTTCTCACAATCCTTTTTCCGTTCCTTGTTCGAATGCCGTCTTACTGAGTTAGTTGTCATTGCATAGTCTATCCGAACGCCTGCTCAAAGAGCCACGTCTTAACCCTCCTCCGAAACACCAGCAACGAAGGGGCCTGCCTGATGTCCGCTGGTAGGGCATTCCATAGCCGAGGGGCCACCACCGAGAAGGCCCTGTCTCTCGTCCCCGCCAACCGCGCTTGTGACGCCGGCGGGACCGAGAGCAGGGCCTCCCCGGACGATCTTAAGGTCCTCGCCGGTTCATAGGTGGAGATGCGTTCGGAGAGGTAAGTGGGGCCAGAACCGTGTAGGGCTTTATAGGCTAAAGCCAGCACCTTGAATTGTGCCCGGTAGCAAATTGGCAGCCAGTGGAGCTGGCTCAACAAGGGGGTGGTGTGCTCCCTGAGTGCCGCTCCCGTTAACAACCTGGCTGCCGAACGCTGGACCATCTGAAGCTTCCGGGCAGTCTTCAAGGGCAACCCCACGTAGAGCGCGTTGCAGTAATCTATACGGGATGTGACTTAACTTATAGTGAATTGTCCTATTGAATTTATGCTTAGTTATATGGTGTTGATTTGTGATTTGGTTTACGTATGTAAGGCATGGAATTTTGCCATTATCTCTGTGTAAGCCACTTTAAGTCCCCGCAGGGGTGAGAAAAACAGTATATAAATACTGTAAATAATAATAAATAAATTATTATTATTATTATTATTATTATTATTATTATTATTATTATTATTATTATTATTAATGGTGCCAATTTGATGACATCATTTTAAGAGAGAAAATGAATAGTTTGTATATTTCAGCAGAGAAGTCAACCAGTCTTTGCTTGGTATTCTTCAATATAGGTGCTCCCATCCTGCAACTTCTCATCTGTTCATTTGGCTTGCCCACCTCTGAATGTTTAGTCTATGGAGAAGTCTTGTCCTTTTCAAATTCTCAGTTTATATGTTAAGAACACAGATCTGCCCTTGATCTTTGATCTGGTACTCTCTTCAGCCACCATGAGCAAGGGCTGGGGGTGTATAGAAATCTCTGCGCTGAATTATCCATATTTCCAATTCCAGAGAGGCTTTTGAGAATATAGAAAACTGCCATGAAGAAAGGTCATTGAGTTATATTGTGTGCTCATGGGCAAGGTCCACTCTGCATAGTAAACCACAAACAAGACTGACATAGATAAGTGGAAAGAAATAGGCCATCACTTTATTTTGTTACAGCAGTAGAAAGGATTGGCATGTGTGTTTGGATCCAAGCATTAAAACCAGCTCCATGCTACACTGCTAAATTCACAAGGGAGGACCGTCATCTCATTCCAATGCCTGATAGACATTCATCATCCAATCCTGGATCCATGAGCTATGCCAACCAAGTCCACGAAGTAGTGACAAATTGCACAAGGGAGGGAGGATGGGATTAAGCTTGGAAAGAATCAGTTCTCTCCCTACTGGAGCACTCACTCAAGTACTCCAGCCAAGGTAGGAGAACCCATCACCTAATGAGTATCAAGTAGGTTTAAAACCATTGATTGGCAGCTAAGAGTGGCCCAGAGCAGTATTCCTAGGACACAGGAACCTTCGAGAAGAAGACATTTCATCTCTTCAGGAATGGTACATGCAATGGTGCCTCCTCCACCCTGTGCCTTAACTTCTGCTGTTTGGCAAGTCAAGCTTCGTGTTTATAGTCATTTATTGGCATTGGCTCTTGGGATCCTTCCCAGCTTTCCCTTAGTGTGCCAGGAATTATGTCTCCTGCAGGGGAGATAAAGGAGGATATTCATCATCATCATCATCATCATCATCATCATCATCATCATCATCATCATCTGATACCTTTTATCATAGAGAAAGCAGGTGCTCTAAAATTGAATTACAATTCTGTTTGTAAAAGTGCTTAGCTGAAGAGAGAATATATATTCTCTGCCACAAATTCGTTTGCTTCCTTATAATGGGATTTCCTCAGTGATGTGTACCTAAGCAATCAGACTTTCAAATTAAGTCCACATTTAATTTCCAGTGATTAAACACAAAATAAAGCATGCTTAAATATAATGCAGGTGGAGATTATAATAAGCTATGACAAATAGATACCACTACTTGAGGGAATTTCCATTCTTCTTTTTTTAATTGTCAATGACTCTTAGGGCCCTTCCACACAGCCATATAACCCGGAATATCAAGGCAGATAATCTACAATATCTGTGTTGAACTGGATTATCTCATTCCATACTGCCATATAATCCAGTTGTGAATTTTATACAGTTGTGTGGAAGGGGCCTTGGACCCCTTCTACATTGCCATGTAATCCAGTTCAAGGATAGAAACTGGATTTTATATGGCAGTGTAGAAGGGGCCTTAGAAACCAATGTTGTATCCCTACACTGAATGTCTGAAGGAGAGCCTTCAGACATTTGGGAGCTTCCCTTTGGGAGCAGTAACAGTCAGAATCTCCCTCCCAATCTTGGAGAGTGAGATTCAGGCTGTTAGATCTCTGGCAAATAACTTTTCCAAACTCCAGTCTAAAGTTCCCTCTATGGGGCTGCAAAAGGGTAGGTCTCACATATTCTACCTTGTCCCCCATCCTCTAGACCAGTGGTTCTCAACCTGTGGGTCTCCAGGTATTTTGGCCTACAACTCCCAGAAATTCCAGCCAGTTTACCAGCTATTGGGATTTTTGGGAGCTGAAGGCCAAAACATCTGGGGACCCACAGGTTGAAAACCCCTGCCTAGACACACATCTACCAAACCTATAGCATTTCTCTGATTACTTGACCTCAGGAATACTTATAAGAAATATCTTCCAATGTATTGTCGAAGGCTTTCATGGCTGGAATCACTAGGTTCTTGTGGGTTTTTTCGGGCTATAGAGCCATGTTCTAGAGGCATTTCTCCTGACGTTTTGCCTGCATCTATGGCAAGCATCCTCAGAGGTTGAGAAGGTCTGTTGGAAGTAGGAAAAATGGGCTTATATATCTGTGGAATGGCTGGGTGGGGCAAGGCTCTTTCCTGCTGCAGTTAGGTGTGAATGTTTATGGTGATCAGCTAAACATTCACACCTAATTGCAGCAGGGAAGAGCTCCTTGCCCCACCCCAGCCATTCCACAGATATATAAACCCATTTTTCCTACTTCCAACAGACCTTCTCAACCTCTGAGGATGCTTGCCATAGATGCAGGCAAAACGTCAGGAGAAATGCCTCTAGAACATGGCTCTATAGCCCGAAAAAACCCACAAGAACCTAATATCTTCCAATGTTTATTTTCACCAATAAATTATGGAGTAAAGCTAACAAATGGCCTAATTGAATCAAGGATATCAGCCATAAATGCCTTTTTAGAGTTCAGTAGCAGGCAGACATCTAAGCCTGGCGATGATCTTATGATGTCAAGCATTTTGTTTGTAATTTCCCACCCACTAAGCTTCCAGTTGTCATGCAATGGCCACTAAAAAAGAGAAAGCACAGAGTCCATTTGGCAGACTGTTCAG